ACTCCCAAGACGGCGCAGCCTGGCTCCTCCGGGATCCATTTCATCTTCAAAGTTTGGTCCTATGCCCTAAAGCTGGTTTTCTTCCTTCCCAGCTGCACAATGGACACAAAATTAACKGTCACCAGGGCCCACACTTGATTGCAAGAACCTGCGGTGCAGATTTCCCTATTATTTTATTTCTCTTCTGGGCGACCACTCGTTCTGACGCCCTTTAGAGTCTCAGAGAGATCTGCTCCAACCCAGGCCTTTTCTCCCCTGCCTTTTATTTGGAGCAGATCGCTTTCGCCATAGAAACCCTCTTCTACGCCCCCTGGCAGCCCGACCCTTCAACACCAGCAGGCTGTGGATGAAGTCTAAGTGGTACTCCACCTGGTACTGCTGTACCTGCACCTGGACTGGGGTGCACTGCAGGCTGGTGGGCTGGTTCCTTCGAGCACCCCGAAAGTTTGCTCTCCCAGCTGATGAGTTCCTGGCCTTGCAATCTGGAAAGTGTGGAAGAAGCCCGGTCTTTGCATAGAGGGTCTGGCAGATTGGATCTTTCTCCTCCCTCAGCAAGCACCTACAGACTTGGCCAAGTGGTTCACGGAGTCATGCCTACAGCCCAGCACAGAAGATATGGGGGCTATCAGCAGATCTCTCAGGAAGGTGGCTATTAAAAAAAAAAAAAAAAATAGGCCTGCCCAGGACATAAACGTTGGGAGAGAGGAAGAATCGATCCAAATAAACATTCAGAACTRGGTGGCTGTTGTTCAAACCCGGAGGTCTGGGGGGTTCTGGAACGAGGAAGGAGAGCAGACGCCAGAAGAGGTGTAAAATTCCCACTTACCCCTCCTAGCCACTTTCTGGAGCGACAGGCTAATGCTGTTCCCTGCCGAATTTTCTATGATAACTTTAAGTTTCTATAGAGGTCTCTGCAGGATGCATAGTGGTGCATTTCGGTCCTTTTCACAATTGCGCTGATATCCCTAAACCCCAACAACGAGCTCCTACCGTGTAAATTTAGAAAGGTCTCCAAGGACTTAGGGAATCCTCTACGCCCCGTAATAGTAACAGAGTTCCTAAACCCAGGGTGAAAACCGTAGCCGGTTTCAGACTGACCTGGGGAAGAGATTTTCCTCCTCCCTAGCCCAGGCGGAAGGAAGGCGAGGCGGGGGGGGGGGGTACCGCCGAGCGCGAACTACCCCAACGGTGTCTTAAATGGCCGTAAACATTGTCGGTGCAGATGCGTCTCTCCCGTCGGTAACCGGTTTAGTCTAAGCCATTTCATGTAAAACCCACGAAGCAGAGGAAGCGTGCTAAGAACATAAGATTTAAACCGCAATAATGAAGAGATTTCCTAGAATAAAACACTGATTACAGAGCAAAATCGGAGAAACCCAAGCTTCCCGAAGTTTACATTCCCTTGAGCTGGGGCAGGGGTGGGATCTAAAGTTTTGGGAGCGGGAAAGGAACCCACAGCCCTAGACGGAGACAGTCAACCAAACCTTTTCTCCCGGATGGAGAAAAGGTCCGATCGACCCTAGGGCTGTATATTTCTGGTTAACCAAGAAGCGCCTGGGCTGATCTAGAATTATTTAAATGAACCATACCTTTCTTTTCCGTAGGGGGGGGGGGAATCAAGATTTTTTGTTGCTTATAAGGAGTCATTGGAGGAGAGTTCACCATCATAAGGGACCTCCTAGAGAGGAAAATTGAACCAAGCAAGGCTGTGCTTCCGAGACAAACACAGGTTTCCTCTTAAACTCTGTCTGCTGGGTTGGTGGTAGAGAGCCTACTTAACATGCATCTGAAGCCCTGAGTTCAATCACCAACACCACCAAAATCATAAACAAATAAATAAACCCTGCCTACTAAACAAAGTTCTATTCTTGCCAGGCAAAAATAATTTGTTCTAATTTGTTATCACACTCATTCTTACCCAATAAATTCATACCAATCAGTGATGAAAACAAAKCTCAGAGAAATTTTGCTGCAATGTGGTTAAAAAAAAAAAAAGCATTGAATTTGGAGCCCTGGACACCCACTATAGGTCAGCTGTATCCCTTGCCCATGGATGATTTATGGCAAGTCATCTTAGGCAGCCTCTGCCAGGGGCATGATCAGAGTGGAGGCTCCAAAGAAAGAGTTCTGGAGAGAAACCTTTCCTCCTCGAAAATTCAAGGTCACCAAGCTCCACATCCTTCTAGAGGGTAGTATTTAGATCCCTGGAAAGAAAGCAGACTTCAAGACAGCAGAACTCACCCAGGCTCTGTTGTCCCGTGCCCATTGCCTTTCCAGGAGCTGGCTGGGGCCCTGTGACACTCACCAAAATATAAGTGGGATTTCTTGAAAGTTTAGAGAATTTTGGTAAAATGGATATCATTGCTATTTGGATGGAGAAGGAAGCCTGGAAAAAAAATCCTTCATAATTTGACAAGTTGAATTAGTAAAAGTTAAAAACAAAATATGTAGAATGTGGMTTTTAAAATCCCAAGCAAGCACAAAGTATTTTTGTATGTGTGTGTGGAGACAGGCTCCATCCATAGCTTCTGTCCATTCTTAAAATGCTCCATGACCGGCGTAGAAGGTTCTGGTCCTGCCTGGGGTTTCAATTTTATTCTTGAGTCCTGGGGTCTTACAACTTTTTCAGGCCTGTCTTAAAGCAGGTACCCCCCACCCACTCACCAGTACTCTGGGCCACTTAGAATTCCCAGGTGCAGAGAGGGTCTGTGGCTAAATGACAATGATATCTACTTGATAAATGCTCCCCAAACACACTGTTCCTCTCCCCACATACAAAAAAAAAAAGTCTTCCTTCTTCCACTCTTCTCTTGGATGTCCCTCCTACCTAGGAAGATTACTACCACCCTCCTCATTCCAGATTATATTTTATTTATTTTCAGACACTTAGAGCATTGACTTAGTGAGCACATTTTTACTTCCATATTTAGTTATTGATTTTTTAATTATTTCACACAAAATGACAAAAGACAGTAAGAGGGGGGGAAATGAATGGAATAAATGGGGACCTGTCCCCATAAAATGCTCACCAGTTAGTCAGGAAAAAAAAATGTTAGAAAGTGGAAACAACTGCAAACCCCCCACTCCAACTCAATCAAAACATCCCTTCCGGAAAAGAGCGACTTGWTTCTTTTTTCTCTTGGAAATGAGTGGTAAACTGAGTTCGGTTTGGTGGTGTTTTCTTAGCTGACTTTTGGCTACAATCAGGCCATTTTCGGACACATTCCCATGTAGGTACCAGGGGTGCTCTGGAGGAAGCTGTCGACGCCTGTTCAGCTAATTTAGGTTTTCTTTGTCTAATTACTGTGGAGCTTAGGGAAAAGGAGCCCGGCTCAGGGCAGTAAACTGACACTCGGTCTCTGTGTGTGGTATCCAGGCAGGGTTTGATGGAAAAAGCCTGCTTCCACTCAACTTCAGGTCACTGTCTGGGGCCAGCCCCAGCCCAACCCCCCTCCCCCTCCCCACCCCCTCTTTCCTCTGCTTTTACAGACCCACCAGTACTCCCAGCTAGGATCAGTCCCCGTCGCACTCCAGGGGCACAGAGAGCTGGTRCCAGCCTCAAGGGGCTCAGCTCTGCTGCAGGGAAGGGTCTTTGCTGCATTCTTTACCTGGGTCCCTGCACCATCTCCCCTTCTTCTGTCCCCCCATTTCCCCAGGCAACCACAGATGCCCTTTCACCTTGATCCTTTAAGATAGATGCACAGAGGTGCCAGGCTCTGTCTCTCATTTGGTTCCCTACTCTGTAGTCCCTTCCCTCTGGGCCTCCCCATCAGCCCCTGTGTGGCCCAGCCTGCTCCTGGCCTCCTGCTCTCCTCCCGATTCCCAGCCCCTATCCCTGGTCAGACTACATTTCCCTACACGTGTAATCCAATAACTAACTGTCGGGTCTCATTGGAAATGATTTCTCCTGAGGGCACATCTCTCTCAGAGCCGGGACTCTAACAGAGAGAATAAGCCACAGTTGGGATGGTGTGTTCTCTTACAGAAGGCAACTTAGAGATGGCACCTTTTGGGGCGAGCAAAAATGAGACTGAGAACGTTACAGCTGCAGGCTGCTTCGGGATTTCATTGAAATAAAGCTATCGCGCTTATCTCAGGGTGGGCCTTCTGGTTGCTTTTTTTTTTTTTTTTTTTTAATCCCAAACAAACCATGAAGTGGGAAACCAAAAGGAAGTGGCATCAAATGCAAACATGAGTCCTATCGACCCAGGTTTCCAGAGTCTCTGAAGCTGGGCCAGAATTCTGTATCCAAACCCCTCTGGTCAAACTTCCCAAAATGTCCTCGATCGCCCGGGGCCGCACCCTGGGGCGTCGGCGTTCACCCTTTACTAAAACAATGGTCCGGAGCCTACAGGCCCGGCCAGAAAGAGAGGATTGGCACTTTACCTTTGGGCGTCTGGCACCCTGGCGTGTGGCTGAGGGCCGCAATGTCTAAATGAAGTTGACAGATGGTGTCACTTCGGGCACTGGGGAAGGCGGCTCCCGGCGGCGGCACCCGCGGCAGCACCACTCGGTTGGGGCCGGGCTGGGAGGAGGAAAGGGGGAGGGGGAGGGAAGGAGGGGTGGGTCCACTCCCAGGGGGGGCAGCTGGTTTCTGGGAGGGGAAGTAGGGACTGCTGGAAGGGGCAAAGGGAACGCTTTTCGTGAAGTCATAGGTGGGTAGTCTGGTGGGGGAGGGGGCGTCGTCCTCTTAGCAAAATGTGAGTTGTTCAGTTATCCCTCCATTTGAAAGAGGGTGGGTGGGAAAAGAGAAAGAGGACCAGAGAACAACTAAAAGAGAGAGGGGGACCCAGGAGAGCTAAGAAGGAGATAAGAGAGGGAGCGGGCCTCCAGGTTGGGAGGGGGGAGGAGTGAGCGCGACGCCCGGAGCGCGCCCTCCCCGCAGCGGCCCGGAGCAAGAAGGGGGCAGGGCGAGGTAGGGGTGGAGGGAGGGAGCGAGGGAGGGAGGGAGGACGGCCGCGGGGAGGGCGCGGGAGGGAGGAAGTCCGAGAGACAGAGGGAGAAGCGCTCCTGAAGGGAGACGTCGGGTTCGTCCCCGGGGTCCCCGCCGCGGTCGTAGCTCACGGGCGCTGCCTCCCGGCGTCCGGCCGCTTCGGCTCCGCGGCCTGGGAGGAGGTTGCGCAAGGCGGGGGCCCGAGCCTCGAAAAGGGATGCGCCGGGCGTTGCCTCCAGCCCGCCGCCGCCGCCGCCGCCAGAAGCCCCAGCAGAGCTGAGGGAGGCGACGCCGAAGCGCTGGCCCGGAGTGACCACGGCTGCAGCCCGGGCGGCGGGCTAGGGCGCTCGCCCGGCTTCTGGGCCGACCCCGTTCTTGCGCCTCCGCTCCCGGCCCGGGGCCCGCCCCCCAGGCCGGGCCTCGCTCCCGGGTCCCAGATGACCACCGAGGGCGGGCCGCCGCCGCCCCCGCCGCGCCCGCCGCCAGCCCCGCTCCGCCGCGCGTGCAGCCCGGCCCCCGGCGCGCTCCAGGCCGCCTTGATGAGCCCGCCGCCCCCTGCCGCCGCCGCCGCCGCCGCCCTGGAGACCACCTCGTCCGCGTCGTCGTCGTCCTCCACCTCCTGTGCCTCGTCCTCCTCCAACTCGGCCAGCGCTCCCTCGGCCGCCTGCAAGAGCTCGGCTGGCGGCAGCGGCTCGGGCGCGGGGAGCGGGGGCACCAAGAAGGCGAACTCGGGGCTTCGGCGTCCCGAGAAGCCTCCGTACTCGTACATCGCGCTCATCGTCATGGCCATCCAGAGCTCGCCCACCAAGCGCCTGACGCTCAGCGAGATCTACCAGTTCCTGCAGAGCCGCTTCCCCTTCTTCCGCGGCTCCTACCAGGGCTGGAAGAACTCGGTGCGCCACAACCTCTCTCTCAACGAGTGCTTCATCAAGCTGCCCAAGGGCCTCGGACGGCCCGGCAAGGGCCACTACTGGACTATCGATCCGGCCAGCGAGTTTATGTTCGAGGAGGGCTCTTTCCGCCGCCGGCCGCGCGGATTCAGGCGGAAGTGCCAGGCGCTCAAGCCCATGTACCATCGCGTGGTGAGCGGCTTGGGCTTYGGGGCCTCGCTGCTGCCCCAGGGCTTCGACTTCCAGGCGCCCCCGTCGGCGCCTCTTGGCTGCCACGGCCAGGGCGGCTACGGTGGCCTCGACATGATGCCCGCAGGCTATGATGCCGGCGCCGGAGCCCCCGGCCACGCGCATCCGCATCACCACCACCACCACCACGTCCCACACATGTCGCCCAACCCGGGCTCCACCTACATGGCCAGCTGCCCCGTGCCCCCGGGTCCAGGAGGCGTCGGTGCAGCCGGCGGCGGTGGTGGTGGCGGCGGCGGGGACTATGGGCCGGACAGCAGCAGCAGCCCAGTGCCTTCATCCCCAGCCATGGCGAGCGCTATCGAGTGCCACTCGCCCTACACGAGTCCTGCGGCGCATTGGAGCTCGCCCGGCGCCTCGCCTTACCTCAAGCAGCCGCCCGCCCTGACGCCAAGCAGCAACCCCGCGGCCTCTGCAGGCCTGCACTCCAGCATGTCCTCCTACTCGCTGGAGCAGAGCTACTTGCAYCAGAATGCCCGCGAGGACCTCTCAGGTAATGCATCGCGACCAGAGTGGTCCGCTGCGGGCCTACATCTATGCCTCTAGGTCCAGCCAGCGGCTACTGCCACTCCCTCTGGGAMAACAAAGTCTAGGGTCTGAGGGCATGGGGAAGAGTGGATGCTGGGGAAAGCTGGCGCCTTATTCATGTGGGGATGCCAGAGATCTGGGTCTCACTGCTCTCCCAGGTGCCCATAGCCAGGAACAGGGCCTCCAGAATTGCCCAGCTTCTAGCTTCTAGGATGATGGTGCCTGCCTTTCTGGCCTTCATGGATGTCTCTMTATGGGCTTTGGATTTCTGATTCAGGCCTGACTTAGTTTTGAGAGAAGGCATGTGGCCTTTGGGGGACCTTGACCAAGRAGTTGTGTTTGGTTCTAGTTCTTCTTGTCCTTTTTTTTTTTTTTTTTACGTTCATTTTTCGGTGCCTTTGTCAAAAAGTAAATGTCAGTTCTGTATCTAGGAGTGTATGTGTGTTGGGGGTGGGGAGGATTTCTTAACTAAGTGTTGAGAGGAGGGGACAGGGAAGGCAGAGGGAAAAGCAGAATGGGGTCTCAGGGTCTTTCACTGGAGGGACAATGTCAGTGGAGGGGGCACTGGCTGTTTAGGAGTCCCACATGCAGTATGGACCAYGGTTGGTGACACATGAATGTCCCCAGGCAGCAGAACCTGAGAACTCTGCTGTAAGTCCCCTGAGAAATGTGCCTGGAGGCTACTTGTAATGTGGCTGATTTAAACTGTATGGGTTACAGATTATGAAAATTTATTGACTTGTGGAAAGCAGTGAAAGGTGGGAGGAGAGATTGGGGGTGGGTAGAGAGAATTTGAATATTTGGCCAGCTTTATCTGAAAAATAARCCCTTATTAACCCCTAAGGAGGACTGGGCTGCAGATTAAAATCCGAAGTCTGCCTGTCAAAGGCTGGGCCCAAAGGTGTTCTCCCTCACATTACCTCCCTCCCTGATTAGAAAATCGTTCACAGAATAATGCATATTTTATATGTTCGTGATGCCGTGTGCAACAAGGACATCAGGGGAGAAAGGAAGCCCAGAAATGGGCAAAAGATGTTGGTTCCCTGAACAGAGAAATTTCCCAAATAGGCCTTTTAAATGCGGGTCTCAGAGGTTAACTAAACAAAGACAGTCTCGGCAGGACCACACCAGAGAGGATTTTAGCCTGACTTAACCCACTGAGAGCAGAGCCTTGTTCAATTTTATGGGAATTTCAACAAGTAACCAATACAGACACCCCTCTTATTCAGCACCCCCGCGCCGGCTGTCAATCTCTCTCCCACAGTAGGCTGGAGCCCACTGGCACCCTTGCTTGCCTGCCTGCTCTTCTCCCAGCCCCTGGTCTTCTCGCAGTCCCTACTCAACTTGAACCCAGACTCCCAGGCTTCCTAGTGCCAGGAAATGGTAACAGAGGAACAAACAAACAAACAAACAAACAAAACAGGCAGGAAAGGGGCTCCAGATCTTTAGGAGGCCGCCCTTGTCCCATCCCTCACGCCAGGCCCAGAGGCAAGCCCCTAAAAATCCCGGGGTCTGCAAGCACGATTCTAGGAGAAGACAAAAACTTCTGAAAGCCAGCAGGCCGGCTTCCGGGCTCCAGCCCATCACCTCCCGGGGCTGACCTTCCTGGGAACTCTCTGTCTGGGAACGCTCTGGAGGCCCTCGATAGCTCAGGCCTTCCTGTATCACTCTGAGGCCCGGGGACCTTTGGTTTGAGCCCAGTGTGCACAGGAGACCATAGCATCCTCCTTCCTCCTCTTGCTGTCTTCCCTGTCTTGTTGGCTTCTCCCAATCGGGCTTGCGAGGAAGGAGCAGACTGGGTGCGCCCGGCCTGGTTTGGAGCGCACCTCCCGATGAGCTGCGACCCACTGAGAATGAAGGCCGGGAGGCCAGACAGGGTTGAGGACGCCCACCACAGTTCAGCGAGTGTGCCCACACACACACACACACACACACACACACACACACACACAGCACGACCCTCCCGCCCTCAGCCCACCCACGCTTCCCATGCTGTCCCATTTTCCGATCCCATGACCCTGGCGGGTGTGTTGAGAGACCTCGGACAGCGAGGCCCGCAGGGGCCCGAGTGGCCTTGCGCTCTCATTCAGCCCGGAGATAGTAGTATCTCGGATTTTTGTCATCCCGCGCAGCACATTAAAGTGAAGACTGCTTGGAGGCATGAGCTCTTGCTCTCTGCCCTGCAGGAGCCTGCTCTTTATTGGTCCAGGAACTGGCATTAGCGTGCTGAGCGAACGCACCTGTGTGCAGGGCAAACCGCCCGGGTCCGGGACGCGTAGGTCAGCGGTTGCTTTAATAAAGCAGTGCCGTTTTAGTTAACAGCTAGCACGCAGACGATCGGCCATTGAGCAGCCTGGTCTCTCCGCAGGCGCCTGGGGCGACGCGAACAGGGCCTAACCTTCATTGGTCCCGGGTACGGTTTTTCTTCTACTGAAAACTGAATCCGGCCCCCGGCATGAATGTGTGGTTTATGCTGCCCACACCACCAGGGTGACCACAAATGAACCAAGCAAATGAGCCTTACCCAGCCTGGCACCAAAAAGAGGAGGAGGCAGGAGATGTTGGGACCCAGAGCTTGCCCGGACACCTTTGACCGATTGTGCTTTGGGGTCGGGCCGCCGAGAGGCGCCGAGAAAGCAAAAGCAAAAGTGGGCGGCGGGTCGGTGCTGAGAAGCGCCAGGCTCAGGCCCTGGGCGGAGAAGCAGTCCTTGGAGAGCAAGGTATAGGCCTTCACCATCCTCTACTAGCATGCGGCTCCCTCAAAATCTCCATGTGCTGCTATATGCCTTCCCTGAGGAGCATTTCTCTGTCCCGAAGTCCTGGCTTCTCTAGATGAAGTCTTAAGACTATTGTGACTGAAGSCGCTTGCGGACAGAAGAGAGCTGCACTTACTTTTCCTGTCCCTTTCTCTGCAATGGAATTATTTTTTGTCATCCCCTTTGGCACAGGGAACCATCCCTGTGCTGCTCACTACTCTTACCAGGCCAATCAATTGGAAAATAAAGCTCAAAGCGAGAGGGGAAGAGAGCAGTGATGGTTCTGGGGGAGGGCGCTTGGTCCCGCATTGCGCCCAGGACTCAGGGCCTGGATGCTGTGGTCTCAGCCTACGCTCACCCGACTCAGACCACAGCTCTGACCCCCAGCCTCAGAGTGATATGGGAATTCAGGAATACAAGAATACCAGGTCAGGGAAGATCTTGCTCTTGCCTCAGACCCCACCAAAACAAGATTCCAGAGGCATCTAAGGACCAAGGACAGATAGTTTGAAACAGTGATTTTTTTCAGAGCTGGGTTTTATCTACCCCTCTTGCATCAGCAATGCACCAAAAGAACACACCAACAGTTCTGTACCCTGAGTCAAAATTAAGATGCGGTAAATTGAAATTTTAAAAACAATGCACCCCGTCATCAGTTGGGTGACCTTGTGTCTGAAATGAGCCCCCCTCTCTCTTTACTTCTTTCAGTGGGACTGCCTCGTTACCAGCATCACTCAACTCCAGTGTGTGACAGAAAAGATTTCGTCCTCAATTTCAATGGCATTTCTTCTTTCCATCCTTCGGCAAGTGGGTCTTATTATCACCATCACCACCAGAGCGTGTGTCAGGATATTAAGCCCTGCGTCATGTGAATGGACAAAGGCCACATGAAGGCCCTCTCTCTTCTTTTTTCATCTTCCCCTAAGGGGCAGATAGGAACTGCGAAGGACTCACACAATGTGCACGCGGATAGCAGTAAGTAGCACTCTGTCACTTAGCCTGAATGCCCAGGAAAGCCTCGTATGCTGATTTTTTTTGCCTACCATTGGAAGAGAGAAAACCTTGGCAAGATAATGCACCAGATGAGGGAGAGCATGAACTGAGGGATGGTAACAAGTTACCACATGTAAAACATAAACTTATAACTCTGGGATGGCCATTGCCTTCAGTAATCAGGGTCTGAAAAAAAGCAGACAARTTGCGTGTATGTGTGTGTTTTTTCTTGGTCTATGAAAACTTGTGTGCTTTTCAAAAAGGCAGTGCTAAGCACAAGATTTCAAGAAAGCCTCATCTTGTTGCCTAGCTAGTTAGGAGAATTCTGTCCCCCCCCCCCAAAAAAAAACAACACTAGGTTTGTATACAGGTGCCAAAGAACATTATGAAGAAATGATTTAGAACCAACCACATCTATTTTTAAGAAAATGGTTCTCAGTATTGTGACAATACAACATTTTTACAAGGTTGTTTTCTACCACCATATTTTAAAGATATTTTTATGATCTTCGTGTATACTCACACTTTGCTTGTATTTTAAAAGGAGGATATATTTGCACTTATGTATACTTTTACAGTTTGCCAAAAATATTTTGATGTAAAATTTTTTTTCAATAAAATGTATATAACAAGTAGTTGTTTTAGGGATTTGTTTCCTCTACAGGCACCCTGCTATGGATGGATCAGTGGCCAGGTTCTCCCCCACCCCACAACCCCCATCCAGCATTGCAACTCTACCCTGCCCACCCCCACATTGTATAATTGATGTGGTGTGGGGTCTGTGCCTTGAGTAACACAGGCCAGGTTGTGAYTGTGGGTCTTCTCAGGAGAAAAAAGAGGGAATGCTTTCTGTTATTTCTTTCTCTACTTCACCCTCACTTTTTTTCTGGCTAAACAAAAAACAGAAGGTGAAAGGAACTTAAATGAAAACCAGGAAAGATAATGAAAGGCGGACAGTCTGATTTGAGGAATCAAGCTCTGTGTCCCTTTTGTTTTCTTTCCTGTGCCCCAAAAGATTTCTGTTCTTTGTTCTTTCCTCTTCCTCACCAGGTCGAGGTGAGGGGGCAGAGTGGTAAGCCATCATCTAGCACCTGTGTGATTTGGGCTTACCGGCCCAGTGAGGGTAAGGTGTCCAAAGGACGGGACCTGCGTCTTCTTGGCAGGTTGCAGTTTTCTTATGGCTGGTGACAGTACTGAAGAGTTCTTGGGGAAGGCTGCTGAGGGTTAGTGAAGGAAACGCCAAGCATCTGGGGGTTTAAAGCTGGCACCCAGCTTTAACAGAGGTTTCGCTCAGGGGTTCCTTTAACCCCTTTTTTTCCTTCTCTTGTTGGGCTTCCCAATCATGAATACAACACAAAGAGCTGGTAAAGCTCTGGATTTAAAAAACAAACAAACAAACAACAAAAAAACAGACAACTAATAGAAGGCCTTATTTCTTCCCCAGACCATCCTCTCTGTCTGAACTTTCCTTCACTCTCTGAGCAGGAACAGAGAAATTTTCAGCCATAATCACACTGTGGTGGTTTTTCTGTTCAACTCAGATCTGGATTTTTGGTTTTGTTTTTTTTTTTTTTTTTTTTTTGCTTTTACTGAGTGGGAAACTCACCTTTGTTTCTGGGCCCCTGAAAGGTCTTCCTGCTAATCCATTACTAGGCACTTATTACCACTCTGGAGAACTCTTATATGTTGGGGACTTTGGTGTTCCAAGTGAATTTCAGTCCAGGGACTGTCTCCTGAGTAAAACATCTTATTTTAAAAAGTCATCTTCCTAATCTTCCTTCCTCTATTTTACAAAAAATTAAGCTGTGATTTAAACATTTTATTTTGTCTATTATATTTGTAGTTAAATAGGGCCACACACACACACACACACACACACCCCTGCCCCCTTTCTTTTTTTTTTTTTTTTTTTTTTTTTGTCTTTTCTTTTACACCGAGCTACTCGGGGGCCTGCTATAAATTATGAAGTCAGTTTCAGAGTTTGCTCCGACCACAGTGCTGTGTTTACATTCCTTCCGAGGCAGCCGGCATGGTCGTAATTTATATCCTAAACACTTGAACGTAACTTGTTTATACAGAGAATGACAGGACCTCAAAGACAAAAACTCCGCGTCTGTCTGACTGACCGCATTGGGAGGGCCAGCGCGCCCCCTGGTGGTGCAAGGAGACCCACGCATGGGGATCGCCGGTCCTGTCAAGAACTCCAGCAACTTCACAAAATGACCCATTTCGTGGTGCATTGACGACAAACATTTAGAATATCTTACTTTGAGAAATTATACTTTACGGTTTTAGGGAATACTTTTTTGGTGTTTTCTGGTTTACTCTTTCTCATGGATTCCTGAAACCTGATGGAGATTCGATTAATGTCATCCTGAAACCTGATGGAGATACATGGACAGTCCTGACCCATATGTAGTAGGTGCTAGAATCCTGACTAGCCATCTTGGTACGTTTCTAGATTTCTCCCCAGCTAAGGTTATTGTTCGATTTCTCTTCGAGTCAAAATTGCTTTTCTCCTAACTGCCCCTCCTTCCAAGACAAGTTAATATCTAGTTCTTTTCTTTTTCTTCTCTCCAATTCTCACCCCCCCTTTCTTCGAGAAGCATGCAGTGCTTAGTCTTAAATGTTGCTCCAGCGTTCGTAGTAAGTTCTCAAAGAAGCACTTCATTGCTTTTAGAAGTGAAAATAAATGAACTAAACTTAACTGGGGGTAAATGTCACTGGGTTTTGTTTGTTTGTTTGTTTTGGTGCTGAGGATTGGACCCAGGGCCTCTTACATACTAAGCAAATGCTCTACCACTGAGCTATATCCCCAGCCCATCCCTCAATTATCAAATGTATTTTGAACACTTAGTTTTCTATTCATTGACAATAAAATGATATATAAAAAGATATTTGATTATTTTGTGAAAGAATTGTTTTTATTTATTTTTAGTTAAGGAAAAGGCCCTATCCTTATGATGTGGGGTCAGTTAGCCRCTTTTCATCTCCATAATTAATACCTAAGATAATCAACTCGTAAGAAGGAAAAGTATGTTTTGGCTCAAAATTTTGGAGGTTTTAGCCCATGATCAATAGGTCTCATTCCATTCAGGACAGCAGTAAGGCAGAGCATCCTGGCAGAAGTGCATGGGGGTGGTAGAACAAACTGCTCACCTCATGGTCAGAGAGTTAGAAAGGGAAGAAGATTGGGATTCCACCGTCCCCTTTAAGGGCAACCCCCACTGACCTGAAGACCTCCCACTATGCCCCAGCGACTAAAGACTCTGTACCTCCTAATAACACCAAGGTCAGAGGACCAAACCTTTAACACTCCRGTCTTTAAGTGACATCCAGATCAAAATTAAAGCATGGGGATCTGAATTCTATTTGCAGATCTGCATTAAGTCATGGTTGTGATGGGTTCAGCCCATGAGTTCTGATTTCAGTTCCTTTCATGCATTTCCCAGTGTTGTATAGGAGAACTTTACATTTGACATTGCAGACATAATGGCAGAGGTGGTCTGCACTCAGAAGTAGTTGTTCTTAAACTTGAGTGTGAATCTGCATTGCCTGAAGAGCCCACACACATTTGCTCTTTCAGTGGGTCTGGGGCAGGTTTCAAGAACTGGTATTACTTCACTAGCACTGAAAAAAAAAAATCACAAGTAATGCAGATGATACTGGTCCAGGAACTACACTTTGAGAACCATAGCTCTAGAAAGACAGTTTGACAGATATTTACAGGTTCCAATGGAGGGTGTTAAGTCTAGCCCATTAGTTAAGCACAGATCTAAAATGGAGAGTTTTTTTTTTTTTTAATTTGCCTACCCACATGCTTCTGTCATTAATTACTGGCCCCTGGGAAAACACTAGTCCTAACTTTGAACTCTGCACCACAAAATAGAATCTCCCATTTTTATTCAAAGCCACAAACATGCTTGTTTTATTCCAAAAGATTTTGCCACAGGGGAGTCAGGARGAATCACTAAAGTCTTCCTGTTCAGAAGAGCAATAAGTCTCAGTACTTACACACAGCAGCAATGTCAGAATTTTCCAAACAGGAGGTGGCTCAGGAAAAGAAATTCTCCWATTGGTTGTAAAACCTTTTGAGGGTGGAACAGAGAAGGGAAAGAAAAGGGGCTGTGATCTCAGAGTACAGCCATAGTGATGCTAGACAAGTGGGCCAGGCAGGACCCTGATGGTAGGAGAGGGGAGGCAGGAAGGAAGAGAGAGAAAAAAGAAAAAGGGGGAGGAAGAGACAGAGAGAGCAAGGGAGGGGAAGAGGAGGGAAAGAGAAGACAGAGATCTAGAGAGGAGGAATCTAAAAACCTACTGTGAGCATGTAGAAGTCTGATTTCTGGAGAAAATCTTCAGGCAATCAGAACAGGCCACTGTAGGACATTAAACAGGATTAGCAAGCTCCAGCCCGAAAGAAAAACTCTCTTTGCAGACTCGTGTATAGCTAATTACTGTGCATCAGGGTGATTAATTCAAAACAGGCACCAACTTATTTAGGATGGAAAAATATTTTAATGTATTTTATCAGAGAGGAAATGTATCTTACCAAACCTGCCTCTCTGAAACACTATCTTAGCAAGGGAAAATATCACAAATGTAGACACTGGGAGGGTTAGGCACACAAACATCAAGATCATTGGGGTAAAAAAATGAAAGTCCTGGAAGATCTTTTGGAGTTCAGAGTGCCCCGAGGCCACAGCAATCCCAGTGATAAATATTCAGCTCTCCATTTCCTGAGGCTTGTGTGTGTGATGCAGAACCCTGCCCATCCCATGGCTGAATTGCCAGCCCTCTTGGCATAAATGTATTCATGAGAGAACAGAGAAGAGTTCTGAGGARCAGCAGGAAGTTGGTGCCCTGCACAGCTTTCCCTCCAGCAGGGCCCCATCCCACTCTTCACCCGGCCACCTAGAGCTGCTGCCTCTCACCCAGGGAGCCTCATCTACAGATGGGGCAGTGAGTCTGAAGGATGGCAGGGCACCACCTCCCAGAACTGACAGAGTACCTCCCCCCATCCAAAATCCAAACTTATTTTTCTCCCTGCTGTGCATTGAACCTACGGTCATGCTAGGCATGCGCTCTACCACTGAGCTATATCCCCAGCTCTTTACAAGCTGCTTTTAATTGGTCAAGTCCAGCCTCAGAGCACAGGGAGAGGAAGACCTGTCTTCTTACTCTTCTCAGTGATCATTGGGATGCCATGCCATCTCCTACTCCACCACCCTAAGCAATTCGACCTGGCCCTGAGCACCCAGGAATCATTAGCAGACCATGTGAATTGATGRGCTGAGCCATAGGACCCCGTAATGGTCTGCCTTCCTGTTTTTTTTTGTAGTGTTGGGAATGGAACCCAGGACCTTACACTTGCCTCCACCACTGAGCTACATCCCCAGCCCACATCTTCCAGTCTTCAAGAAGGAGGAAAGGGAACAGACTTGCTATCAGAACAGAATTGCTCTAGCAGGGTGAAACACAAGGTACCCAGGCCCAGATATTTTTGTCTGAATAGAGATTCCAAAACCATTAAGTCACCCACCAGAAGCTCACTTCTGGGGCCAGCAGTTACCGGATGGTGAGTTTGTCTGCACAACTGGTTAGCAGCCTGAGCGAGTGCTGAGCAACCCAGAAGTTTGG